TACTCTATGGAATTAGGTAAGCAGGAAGTGTCACTCTGAGAGGAGAAGGCATATTCCATTCCAGACACAGGAAAATGTCCATGTTTAGATGACATACATATGTTATTCTGATTTGGATCCTCTTCAGCATGGTGATGGGTGTCCAAGTATGTCAGACAACCGGCTGGCCAACCAAAATTCCAATTCCCTTTTAAATGCAGTTGTAGACTCAATGTCAACAACCATTTGTGTTACGCATGATAGATTCAGGTTAGACAAGTACTGCAGATTGATTCTGTTATAACCTAGACATCAGGCATTCATATATACTAAAGGTAACCAAAGTGAGAAACAATACTGTCTGGATACTTCTTATGTAGGTGAAGTGTGGAGCACAAAAGGGTGGGGGGAGAAGAGTGTTTAGTTCACAAAAAATACTGCTTCCATGTCCATTTACAAATATATAAAATCTAAAGATCAAAGGTTTGAAAATAGCCTGTTTTGACTTTAAAGTTATTTAAGATTTAACAGAATTGTGGAAAATTTGCAAATATAGTCCTAATTTATTATTATTAATAATAATACGTACATTGGTATAGTGACTTTCACATTGCTTAAGCTATGTTCAAGGTTTCCCAAGCAATTCATTTATGAGCATGTCAGTTCATTCAGGCATAAATACAGAGCTTTTAACGTGTTTCACACTGCGTTTTGTAAGCAAACCTGGAAATTTGGAAACTAGTTCCTTTTTGAGAACAAAGGAAAATTGACTTCATTAAGATTGATTTTAAGAATTCTTCACAATTCTGCATGATCTTCAATTTTAAAATAAAATGGTCTTTGCAAGTTAAGATAAGGTGAAATGTTGGGCTTCAAGACGGTTCAGTGAAATAGGGATTTAAGTCACTGGTGTGCATATTGACACTGTCACAAATCAACTGTTGTCATTTGTGAAATTATGTAATGTTATTTTACTGAGATCAAACAAAATATACCCTTTACATTACAAATTTGAAATGAAAACCAACAGCAAAATTGCATTTTGCCTAATTCAAGAGTCCTTTAGCTCAGTGGTTAGAGTACTCGCCTCGCAAGCGAGAGACCTGGGTTTGATTCCCAGCAAAGCAAAACCTTGGACAAGTTTCCTTATTCCACACACCTGATAATAATCCCTCAAAAAACAAAACAATAATAATTTGGTCACTCAATCCATGACTGTTTGTGGGACATTGCTGTGCGCAATTTGCTTCCGCGTTTCACCTACAAATATACAGTCAATTCATTTTACAGTATATTCTGAGATGTCTCGAAGACATGAAAAGCGCTATATCAAATGCAAGGATTATTATTATCTTTGTTCAGGGTTTCCCAAGCAATTCATTACTGAGCATGTCTGTTCATTGAAACTATTTATAGGCATGTATGCAGGACTTTTTGATGCCAGCCTTTTTTCAATCTTTTGGTAAAGATTGCGATCACACTTTGAATGTTCCATAGGATTCGATCTTGGATGAACACTCAAATCACCAGATTATTCTTTACATCTGGAACCACCACCTGAATCAAAAGGGCACAGTGGACTATTTTTTGCCCTGTGGGGCCTCTTCATCATGTATCTGTGCTTCTTCATTAATGGATCACAAGCCCTTGGTCGCTGGGGTGTGGGAACTGCATATATGTAACAATGTGGCTCTGTTTGGCCAGCCAGAGTCTGTAATAATTACTGAGCTGCCACAAGCTCCTTCTAAAGCCCTAAAACTGGTATAAGAACAGAAAAAAATTTCAAACTGACAAGCTTTATTTCATTGAAGAATGCAGGCGTCTGCACTACACAGAGTGAGATTTAGAGACTGCAGCTGTGTAAAAGTCATTCTCAGGGCCTGAGACCACTGTTTTCCCTTCACCCGCCCATTTCTTCCTTTCTGTTTCTGTCTGCAATTAACAAGCAATGACCATCTAACTATACACCAGGGATTAAAGCTGACCTTAGATTCATTCCAAATATTTTACATCATTAAACCCAGTGTTAATTTGAAGTGCTCGGATTTCAAAAGAATGCTAATAGCATTTTAATCATGGGATTCTCTACACAGGAATCTATGTTGCCATTTGAATGCATTTGAATGGCTTCACAGTATCATAACTTTTGTACACAGTTGCAAGATCATGATGGAATCTTACTAATTTGGGGGTAAATGATATATGCATAATAACGGTCACAACATAGAATCATAGAATGTTACTTGCATAATATGCAAGTACTACACACAACTAACCACAGACAGATTTTTCAACAGTAAGGTAAGAATTTGGAAGAGCATGCCATTAGTCAATTAGTTGTCCTCACAGCATAGTAATTTTTCAAATTGGTGTGTAAAGATCACTTAAATGTTATGAAGAAATACAGTTGCCCGAGGGACACCACAGTCTCATTAATCTAGAAAACCACTTGATGGGAGGAGATGCAAAGCTTTGGTAAGATACAAAGTACTGCGATGAAAGGTGCAAATGTAACTGATCTTTACTTTAAATGGTGTACAGTATTTGCACGGTGAGCGCACTACAAAAGCATGGTTCTCGTTAGATTGTAATATGAGTGTGTACAACATATTGTGGTGTGCATTTTAGGAATCTTGGCAGAGATGGAGGAAAACACTGAAGGGATTTGAGATTGGTAAAGGAAACATTAGCGGGAGGGAGGGGCGATTGAAATTTTCTAATCATCTGGTTCACAAGGTTAATAATACGTTATTGAAGTCGGCAGTATACACTTGTAATGTAATAATGCAACCAGTAGAATTTTACCCTCTTCTCCTCTCCACCCCAGGACCATTAATTCATCATTCAAAATACATCCTGGAAACAGAACAACTACCACACAATGTTTCTTGATAAACACAGCAAGGATATCATGCTTATTGATCCTTATATGCAATCATCTTTACCCATGAATGATGCTAGGGTGGGTGCCCTGACATGCTGACGCTGAACACAAACAGAACTAAAAATCCACCACATAAAATTCAAACAGGATATGTTATAAATAATACACTAACGTGCAGCGATTTCAAGGTTAGTAATTAATCGCGAGGTTGGGATGACTGTAATGAACTGCTGAAGTTTTACTCATGACTTATGGTGTTGTCTCAACCCATCAATTAGGTTACTGCCTTGTAATCATTCAAAGGTATCCATTATTTTATAGATAATTAATTTCACCAGCACAATGCACGTCTATTCTCGAATAAAATAATGTTGAAAGAACAGTGGTGGTGCATTAGCTTATACTTACCATCTAAATAGTACTAACCAAAGTAATATATTGTCACTACAATAATGCAAAGGATGGCATCTCCAACAATGCAATGCACCCCAGGCACTGTACTGGAGTATCAGCGCTTGAGTCCTAACATGGGGCTTGAACCTGAATTCTTCTGACCCAGAAGTGAGTGCAATCAACTGAAATAAATTGAGATCTGAAATGCATACAACGACATTTATAGGGTAAAGTTTGTTATGCTTTATAATGTGTTTTGCTTGTGATAATCATGCTCTCCTGACAGTGAGCTCGACACAATAGTACACTCCAGCAGAATCCTGCCACTAAAACGCAGCCTCGATGATGAAGATCGACATTGGAATGCAGCAGAAGAAGACATTGACTGAATTCAATCACTTTCCTCTTCTGCTGAACTCTAACATGTTTTTACTCTGTCTGTCTATTTCAATGCACTGCTATCAGAATAAAAAAACACTTAGCTGTGTTCCCAATTTAAACAGATTCATGAAAAATTCGGGACAGGCAATGTTTGCCACCAAATTACATCAACTTAATTTCTGGATCTTGGAATTGATGCAGTTAAATGAACAAGAAATTAATAATAATCCTTGCATTTGATCATTTGATATAGCGCCTTAGCACATCTTCGAGATGTTTCAAAGCGCTTCATAGAATACACGGTAAAATCAATTGACTGTATATTTTGTGGGTGAAAAACAGCTTTATCTAAAATGTGTATCTACAGGGACCTACTGTACATTTAGTGATCAGCATGATAGACTCATGTTTGTTCTGCAATAAAGGGTCTGACTTTTAGGATGAGACACTGCCAGAGTCTTTTGTTTTAAAAGTCAAAATAAACCTCCTTCTGTAGAGTAATAGATTGATACTATACACACCATAATAATGTAAACACACTCGTGTTCAAATCCATTCACTTCCTGGCACCTCCCTACCTCTCCAACATCCTCACTCCCTAATCTACCAAGCGGCACCTCTGCTCGACTGGCACCAGCCTCCTGCTCGTCCCTCACACCTTCCTCCCCACCATCGGAGGTCGCGCTTTCAGCCACTATGCCCCGAAACTCTGGAACTCTCTCCCTCAATCCTGATGCATATGGTTACCTACTTTGTAACACTACATATGGATTGCAATACACAATAGCATTGCAATATCAAGCTACAATTAAATATAGACTTCTCTGTCAGGCTTAATGTGCAAGACATTAGAGTTTCCAATTGGACTCCAATAGTTAAAGAAGGCTGCAACCTAAGCCTTAAGAATTGACTTGGACAGCAATGTCTAAACATTGAGGCATAAAAATTACAAGTTAAATCTCATATCAACATAATCCCTTCTCAAACCAGTCCGATGTGTTAATTATCCAGCCTATAGGTTAGACATTTTCTCTAACACAATCAGTATTTAAAAGCAGGAATTGCTCTATTTAATAAATTGGCATTTTAACTTTTTCCCTCTTGTGTTTAACTAATATAATTAACTTTAAAAAACATTTAAAAAAAAAAATCTTTCAATGACAGTTAAATCAGTCAAAGAACAAGTGATATCATCCCTCTTCTCTGAGTGATTTTAACATGGGAGGAGAAAAAGGAACCTATTAAGCATAGCTGTCATATGAATGGGATTACTTAAGGAAAGGTGATTAAAAGATTTCTGGGGAAGAAGTTTCGCAAAGTACAGAGTACTTTGAATTAACAAAAATGTTTAAATAATGCTCACGCTACAGAGAATCGGTGTTGATGTAGTTCCTCCAAGTAGGATGGTGCTTGTGGAATTGATTTTGTTTCTTCAGCAGGAGTATGCTGATGGGATTTCCTTTGGTTGTTGTACTCGAGTGGATCACACTGAACGACCTACACAAAAAGATTAAACAATAACTTTTGTCTGTTAGAGAAACTGGTAAAATGATCAGAACATTTTGTACAAAGAGAGTGAGTAATTCATTCTAGGGATACCTAGAATGAAATACCTCTGAATTTCCCCAAAGAGGGTGGGATCTGATGATAATCCTGTATCATTGTAAAACTGACAATTGAACAGTGCTTGTTTTTCAATGCTTTTTTTTTCAAAAAAGTATGATAAGCACAGAAATTCAATCTGCTGACACACTGCCGGAATGTTGCACTTGTCTTTTATTGCTTTACATGTCAGTCTGGCTCAGTTGGCTATAGGTTCAAGCTTCACATTGAGACTTCAATCCAACATAGTCTAGGCTGGCAGCCCAATGCATTGCTGGGGATGTGCTGCATCATCTGTCCCATCTGCCTATTCAGGTGGTTGTTAAAGATCCCATGGCACTATTTGAAAAGTGCAGAGAGTTTCTCCTGACATCCCAGCCAATAACTAAGCTTTGTGAGCCGATCACCCCCATCCTTACCTGGCTTATTCACTCCCCATCCCCCAGAGAATTTAGTTCAAGATCCTTGTCCTCACCTTTAATCCCTCCATGGTCTTGCTCCTCTCTACCTCTGCAACCTATTAAAACTTCACCAAACTATCCGCTCCCTCCACTTTGCAGGCTCCACTATCCACATGGGAGAAAGACATTTCTCTTTTTGAATAGATATGCAATCCATAATGTCTACTGCACTGGCAGGTAGGGCCTCGGGTTAATATCTCATCCAAAAGACAGCAGCTCAGATAATGCAATGCAATCCTAACCCTCCCCCCACCCCAGTCTCACAGCCTTAGTTTTAGCCTGGACTATTAATTCAACTCTCAACAGTAATAATAATAATCCTTGCATTTGATATAGCACCTTTCACATCTTCTAGACGTCTCACAGCACTTCACAGAATATACTGTAAAGTGAATTGACTATATTTGTGGGCGAAATATGGCAGCCAATTGCGCAGAGCAGTGTCCCACAAACAGTCATGGATTGAGTGACCAAATTATTATATTTTTTTTCTTGAGGGATTATTATCCGGCGTGTTGAGTAAGGAAACTTGCCTAAGGTTTCGCCCTGCTGGGAATTGAATCCAGGTGTCTCACTTGGGAAGCGAGTGCTCTAACCACTGAGCTACAGGACTCTGAAAGTAATAGTAACACGTTATGGAGCAGGTAAAGGAAAAAAAAACTTGGTACTGATTCAAAAGGTGGCAGGTTAACTGCAGACTTTGATTAATTTTGTCCAAGACTTCTGCAGCTGAAGAGGTGTGTTCTCACTACTGCTCTGTTGATGTTACTGATTTCACAGCGGGTCATTCGTTTTGTCTTGTCAAACACATCAAACTCTGCTTTGAAGACAGCAAATACCATTGGGCGCAAAATATATTTTGACAAATCTTAGCCAACAATCTCAGGCATGTGCACGTCTTAAGTGTGAAGCTTTCAGAACGATACTGTCACCTTATAGTACATTCCACTCTCTCCGTTGACTGGAATCTGCTCATCAAATTTCCCCTCACATTCAGCAGCAATGCCACACATGCCCTGAACTGCAACAGAAAATAAAACAGTAAAATAAAAACATGGCTCAGGAATTTTTTGCTAATTTACTAATGAAGCATTTTGCCCTCGCGTCACCCTACCTCTAAAACCTGCTCACATCCAATTCCTTTAGCTACCCACTGCGCTCAACTGGCTCTATAGGCATTATTCCCGCCGCTCCATCATCAGCAGTCATGCTTATGCCACCGAATGCTGGAACACCCCAACTCAATCCCTCCACCTTGCCCCCTTTTTGCCTGTCTTCAGATTGGAGCGCTTCAACCATGCCTAAGGTCACCTCCTTTTCTCTTATTTCTGCATCAAGCCCCACCATTGTTAAGTGCTCTGAGAAGCTACCCTGCTTAAAGGACTCTATAGCAATGCAAGTTTTGTTGCAGTGTTTTCCTTTGTAACCACTATTTATAATTGCTTCAGGATGGGCATGACCACAATGATTGTAACAACAGATTCAACAACTTGCTCAGCAACAATGTTTTTGGCAGTCTTGTCGAAACATGGAAAAACGGCAACCAGTTCAGTAAAAGTTGGGTTCATTCATAAAACAGTGGGGAAAATATGTGTTACAAGAAGCTATAGATTTTTTTCCAAAAAAAACATAAACTGTTGGATAAAAAGGTGTTAAAAGAAAGCAGGGGTCAGAGCAGTCAAGAAAACAGAGGATGTCTGAACAAGTAAAGGTTATCCTTTGGCCTGGATGATAAAGGAGTGCACTCAGCGGGTCAAATGACAAGCCTTTAGTCCTTATTTGGGAGTAGCAGGAAATGAGCACTAGATGTGGTAAATAGTATCGGTTCAATAGTTGCCAGAAAAGCTTGGCAGGATTTATGGTTCCGATAACCGGATGTAGACATCAATAAAGTAGTGGCACCCTTTCCTTTAGAGACTACGGTTAAAAAAATCAAAATACTTCTGTCATGTTCAGACTTCTTTAATGCTACTTTTCTGGTCAGTTGTTCATCTTCCACATTTATCAATTTCAACAAGCTTAAACTGGGGAAAGTCATTTTGCTGCATTCACCAATTTCATGTGTTTTTAACAGAGTAATACCACATGTCATCAACATAGCTATCAGTGCTCTTGTTCTATAAGCAGGTCCATTTGATATGTTTGTCTGCATAGATTAGATACATTTGAATAAAGCTCATTGAGTGTCCGCTGCTATGAAAGAGGGCTTTCTACTCTGATTTACGCGTACTCCTGTAAGTTTATGTGTAGTGACTGCAGTTCAGCCTATGATTATCGCTTCCTCCATGCAGCACAAAGAGAGGCACTTACTTTCAGCCCTGTCATTCTCAGTGCTCTTTAACTTAAATGCTTGCACCTACATTCTTTCTTGAGACAGGATATCAGCATAACTTTGTTGTGGACTAAGTGCGGAAAGCCACAAACTGAATTTCATACAAGTTTCATACATGTTCATTGTACATGTCTATTTTTCTCTCAATGAGAATTCTTTCCAAAAAATAACAAACTTAATTCTCTCCTTCTTTGCTGCCCCCTCAAGATTCAATGATATTGCCAGCCTCTGTGACTGTTGCTGGCTGACTTCATTTTGCCTCCCACTTTCCAAATATCTTGTAATAATTTGCTAAATAAAACGCAATAACAATAATTTCTCTACTGCAACAACAGTGCGAAGCTCCTCAAATTGAAGTTCAATATAATTTGCACACATTCTGAATAAAACATATAAGGAAAATCAGTCAAACACTCGCAATTAGAGGAGATGAAAAATCTGAAAAGAAATTAAATTTAGTTGTAATACAACTTCCATTCTTCTCTTCCTAGAAAATTACTACCAAAGTGTTTTTTCTGTAATTTAAATGTTAAGTCACCAGATGTGTGTCTCATGCTTGAAGAGCCGAAGCCTTGCATTATTTAGCATATTAAGACCCACAGAATGTAAAAAAGAATTCTTCATTGCCTGGAGGTTCTAATTAAGTAAACCTTTGCTTGATACATGTAAAAATTGCAATACAAGAAATTTCTTTTTGCAGCCAGTCACAGCAATATAATAAATATGGAAAATTCTAAACCGATATAATTTTTCTTTCGCTTCAGGATTCAAATATATCTACTATAATCAGCTACTTTGAATAGAGGCGAACAATCAGCAAGACACCTAAAGCACTTAGGTTAACATCCACATACTTTGTATAATAGTAAATGAATATCACATTTCACACGCAGTATTCACATGCCATAAGTTTAAACTTAGTTATTTGTGGCATTTTACTACATGCCAAAGACCTCAACTTTGCACGTTAGTGTAACTTAGATGCCATTGTTTTCTATGGTGTAATGCCACTAGAACTACAATCGAATCGACAGCCAATAAATGCGTGAGCAGAACTTACAGTCACAGAAAAAATGGAATCTTATGATGCTCTGTGAGAGCTAGTATTATTGTAGCAAAGTAAATCCAAGGGCTCCTCACAGTAGTACTGAGCTAAACAAGCCAAGGAACATTGTAGATTTGTTCCTTGGTCACTATCCAGTGATACAAAAAAAAGTTTAATGGTGTGGACCCTGGGAGCAGACTCAAGCCCACATTTGAACAACCTACTGCCAGTTAATTGTCTAGCTCTGACACGAAATACACCCATGGAAATGAGGTACCAGAGCCAGATATTTAGTGTGTTTGTGTCAGTACTCCAGTGTGAGTCAGCAACCTCAGAAGAAAATTGGCGAACAAGTCGAAAACCACAGTTTCCATTTCAAATGGAGCATTTTTCTCGACTGACAAATGGGCAGAAACTGGAACACAATTCTGGCTACAGCAAGCACATATTTATCAAGTGCATATTTTTTATACTATGTGAACTTTTCCTTTGTATTGCGTTGAATCTTTCACTAGATGTAGAAAGTTGAAATTCTAAACAAGGGCCATCCAATGATATCTGCACAACAGAGTTTGCACCATTACTGAGGTCACAAATACATTGCTACAGTCTATCTCAGCCCTGAAATAAGATACATGTTCCAGACTTGTTCTTTGAACTGCTGTATTCTGTATTTCGAATTCTAAGTAGCTGTAAATTGCTGTTATATCATTTGTTTAGAGTTTAACTTCCTTGAGATTTATTTTTTGTTTGTTCTGCATTGTGTAGATGCAAACTCATTTAACCCCCTGCCACGCAACATGTTTTTCTTTCTTTTTCTCTGTTTCGCTTGGATCAGTGCACCAAACATTCCCCTTCTCTTTTGAGTTTCCAGCCTGAGTCATACTGCTCTTGATGAGCGCTAAATAACAATAACAATGTGCATTTACATAGTGCCTTCACATTGGGTAGCTTCTCAGAGCACTTAATAATAATGTAGTTTGACGCCGAACTGAGAGAAAGGGGAGTGACGGTATGGCACAGTCGAAGAGGATGGTCTTCAGGCATGATCTGAAGATGGGTAAAGAGGGGGCGAGGCCGAGGGATTTGATACAGGGACTTCCGGAGGTTCGGGACCTAATAGCTAAATGCAAGGGCACTGATGATGGAGTGGAAGGACTTTACAGTGTGTTATGTGAAGCGCTTTGGGACGTCCTACCGACGTGAAAAGCGCTATATCAAATGCAAGGACTATTATTATTATTAAGGCCAGAGCCAGCTGATTGAAGGGGGTGGGTAGGGGTGTAAGCAGGTTGGAGAGGGAGGATGGTGCCAGGGCATGAAGTGATTTGTAGGTGAGTGTGGAGATCTAGAAATTGGTCCATTCTGCAATAGGGACCCAGTGGAGCTGGGCAAATACTAGTGTGATGGAGGTGTGGAGTTTGGTGCTGGTGAGGGCATGTAGGTCTGAATTAATTGTACTTTGAAAATGGTGGAGCTGGGGAGACGGTGAGGCGGTCATTGGACATATTGAGTCTGGAGGTGATAAAAGCATGGACAAGGATTTCAGCAGGCGGACGTGGAGGAAAGCGGTCCTAGTCAGATGTGGGGTAGAAGCAGAGGCAGAACACTAGCACAGACCCCGGGAGGATGTGATTTACCTGCTCATCCGCTACACTTAGTGCATGATCCATGCACCAAGCCGCGGAATAAAAAAAAGCCTCCATATCCTTTCAAAAAAGAACAAAAATTAAGCAGAACAAAAATAAACAACATTCCATGGAAGTAATTCTTTACATGAGTGGTATAACACTTACAAACACCAAAAAATGTAAAAAATGTGAAAATGTTAAGCAGACAAATACGCCAGTTGAAGGCAGATCCTGTTTAGTGGATACGGTTTAAAATGTTCAGTTTTTATAAACTGGCTGCATTAATAAGGTTTGTTTAAATTCACACTCCCTGGAACACTTTAAGGACATCCCTGTAGTGTGCTGGTGATGTCATCACACAATCAACATGCTGCAAATAACAAGGATCTGCTTCTCATTTGATTTAAGAGGAAACAGAGAACTCTCCATGTATGTGTAATTGCTGCTGAGCATCGCTTTAAATACAATTTTTGCAGTAAAGTACAAAAGGTCTTTGATACTGTGTTCCAATTACCTGCTTAAATATCTCATTTACAAGGATTCATTTTTATTTTTTTCATTCAAGGTTATACAGTAACTCCAATAAAGTGGCCCTGCCAGACACCAGTAAAATTTTGTGACATTTCACAATGAAGCAAGTTCACGGCCTTCAATTTGACTAAATTTTAGTGAATTATGTCATAGAGTGCAGAGAAAGACAACTATGCATTTAATAAATACTTTGAATTATCAAAGTGAAGTAATGGTCAACAGAAAAAAAATAACTCATATAATGTAATATAGTTGTGCTTGCTTTTAAATTATTACAATTTAGTGATCAGAGAAAATCCATTTGTCCTCATTGTACATCACTAATAAAAGGAGACCGTTCCTGGTACAGTGGCAAGGACATTCATGATTCAACATCCTGTGTTACTAAAATGCCTAGAATTCTCTGTGCAGTCAGCTTCCGGTCTCATCCATTTGGTATTCCTGGAAAGTGACAAGTGGACCCCAGGTGTTTCACCAAAGGG